GGACCGGTGCGACCGCCACTACGTCCGCCGGTCTGAGATGGGGACGCACCGGACACGACGGGCTGGGAAGAAGCTGAGGCCGCGGTCTGGGAAACAGACGGGGTCATACGGGAATCCCCAGCTGAAGTAGAGCCCTGGCCCTTTTTCGGCTTCATCATGAAAGACATCCTGCTGGCCATCTTCTTTCTCTCTTTTAGCGGGTGCGGGTTGGCGTGAGCGTATTTGTTGGCTTTTTTCACGGAACGGAGTCCGCACTCTCGGTGTAGGGGATAATAGACTGTCAAACATCACAGAATCAGGCGCCGAACTCAATGGGCTAAGCAATAATCCGGTATGGGGGAAAAGTTACCTGGGATGGAGTAGCCTGTCTTGAAGTCGGAGCAAAGGCCGTAGGTGATCAAACTCTCTTCTGAGACCAAGTCGCGATAGAAACGCTCGTCCTCGTCAAGTGCCAACAAAGTGCCGATCTTCTCTGCTAAGTCGTCGCTGGCGTCGAAACGGGGATTGTGGACGAAAATGGAAATACCGACCTGTTAGCACAGGAGAAAAACACATAATTAGAAAATGGTAAGGAGTAACGTGATACTCACACTTGCCGGATATGAAGCCGGTGTACGGGTGCCGGGCAGCCTCCGGCGCTTGCCACGCGCCGGAAACCCAGAACCACTCCAGCATGTAGCCGTGCAGTGATTCCGGGATTTTGTTCACCAAGGACCTGTCCACTCCGGGAGCGACGGAGCTGTAATAGTTGCCGGTGTTGCCAGATTCCTTGAAAATCAAAAGAGCCCAAATATCCGCGCTCGTGGGGTCGGCCCAGCCCTACTTACGGAACAAGACGATCAGACCCATCAACCGCGTGAAGGCCGTGGGTACTAGCTGGCTGATTCCGATGCCGAGGTCGCTCAGGACGTCACTCAAGACGCCGGGCAAAGGAAATCGGAGTCCGAGACGGACGCTATGACGGTAGACTCTGATACAGCCCGACAGAGGACAATCGATGCGTTCGCCTGCGTACGGGGCGAAGATCTGAACGTCGGGGCCGAAACTCACCTTGCCCCGTAACTTGACCAGGTCAACGTCCCCAAGAATGGACGGTGTGTTCCAGGCCGATATCTTCGTGGCAGTCAGCCACGAGCGAGGAGGGCGACGCCAGCTCCCGGGTGGGGCAGAAGTTGCAGCCTCAACGGTGGCGTCGGTCTCAGCATCGCCCTATTTCATGGGGACCCGTTCCCGTCCGTCGGTCTCGCCCTGAAGGGTCTCCTCGACCAGGCTGAGATCAATGTCCGAATCACTATCAGAAGGCCCGCCGTCCGGGATAACCTTATCTCCACCGTCGGACTGGCTGGAGCCGAGGCCAACAACATCGACCACCGGGATCTGCGGGAACATCTCCCCTAGTGGGTCAGACGCCGCCGTCGATGGCCGGGTCACCCGAACAGCCGTGATCGGCGTAACTATGAGGGGTTGTGTCGCCTCCTCCGCCGGTGGAGAGTAAACCACGATCTCGCCGGTCTCCTCCGCCGTTAGTCTCTCGTCCTCGCCGGAAGACGCCCCGAAATTCAAAAAACTCGACATATTAAAAAGAAAAGGATGAAGGAACAAGCGGATTATCGGTTTGAAGCCTTGAATGCCGATTTGCAGAGAACCTCAGGGAAGTTTGAAAGCTGCCTTGTCGTTTGCTCGAGAGTACTCTCAAAAAATTGCAGAAGGTAAAAATCTTTAAGGGAAGACGACGATGCATATATATATAATGTTCGGTCCAATCACGGAAGGCCGCGTGGCACCGTTTGAAATTCAAAAAATTTAATAATTAACTGTTCAAATTGAACGGCCACGATCGAAGCCATCCGACGGTTCGTGAGCGGGCACGTGGGCGACACGCGGCAGAGTAACCGCCCTTTCCACTGAAGCGAAGCGACACGCCCCGCGGGCCAATCAGATGGGGACACGTGTAAAGGACCCTGAAACGGCACGACTTTTCATGGCCGACAAGAATGACAATGGCCATGTCGCATTGATGAACGCGTCTCTTCAGTTCGCGTCATCAATATGCCAAGGACAGAGAAAATGTGACTCAAGGAAACCGGAGACGCCGGGATGAAATCCGGCAAACTCGGGACTGAACACTAGAGTAGCGACCTCGGACAAGATGTTGGGAGACCTCCTCTCCAAGCTCGTGGGCCTGTATGTTGATAGCCGAATTAGCTCAGAATGAACCGGAGACTTGACCTCTCAGGACCAGTGCTAAAGACCCGGTCTGACACCGGGGTGCCGAGCTGAACCGAAGATTAAAGATGTGCAGAACTGCCATGGGAACGTTTTCCTAGACCGGCACCTGGCTCAGTCAGGACAGAAGCCGACCTGGGCGGGTGCCGGGCAAAAAGAAGACTATTAGCAGTCTCGCGAACACGTTCGAGTAAAGTGCCGACCTGAAAATCCGAGGAGGCCGACCAGAGGGAAAGGGCAGGGTTCGATGAGCATTAAAATATTCCCACTTGGAAGGTCATCATTGGACGATGGGACATGTTATCATAGCCTAGCACCCTACCAGCAAGCCTAATTAATAAAGCCTACCAGCATTAAATGCCCCCCCCATGCTGGCATTTAATACCCGACAGATAATGATTGAAGAAACCTCAAATCGCATTAAATACATGTCAGAGGGACGCCGAACTGATCTTCAAGGCCACTGAGCGACAAGACCGGAGAACAGTAGCTGAACAGTACCACATTAAAGACTACTATAAATAGCAGCTCATTTCATTTATTTTGGGTTGTTGAATCTCAACTAACTCTGATCTCTCTACTTTCTCTCTCTAAAACTGTAAGAAACTCATTGTAAGAATTGTAAGTATATCGCAAGTGCCGACCTCGTACGAGAGGCCGACCTCGTGATCGCCCAATAAAACTGTAATTAAACCAAATCTTCCTTTCGTTCTCAATCTTCTGCTTTCAATATCTATCATTTTAACCGTTGACCGAAAACGCTCGTTAACAGTTGTAATACGGTTCTCCCTGGCTTTGTAGCCTTCGGTTTTTCTTTGTTAGGTTCACATGTATGTGTATTGTTATCAAATATTGTATTTTATTTATGAGATCTCCTATCGTTCTAAAAAAAAAGTGATGTTGGAAACATACACACAAAAATTGTTCTTATGCATTTGCAAGGCAGTCCCATATTTTCCAATTACTTAAATAACACTAAATAAGTTTATTAATATAACATAGTTTATTTGTTGTACATAGAAAGTTGGCTCCACTGTGGAGTCAATTGTTGGTTCTAAAGCAAAACTGTATGATACATTCAATTGTTGTCGATCTTGACAGTCGTATTTTCCGAATTGCCCAAGTAGCACTTTGTATCTACCCAACAAGGGGAATTTAGGTACCTCAAATCATGGCGGCGGTGGCGGCGGCCATGCCCGAAACACGGAAGCTGCCTCGCCCAGGCAGGGGCGGAGTCATCTCACATGGACTGTCGGAAGAAGAAGCCCGGGTGAAAGCCATCGCAGAAATTGTCTCCACCATGGTTGATCTCTCGCGTAAGGGTCAGGACGTAGACCTAAATGCTGTCAAGTCCGCCGCGTGCCGGAAGTACGGCCTCTCGAAGGCGCCGAAACTCGTTGAGATGATAGCGGCACTGCCTGAATCCGAGAAAGAAGCGCTACTGCCCAAACTCCGGGCAAAACCCGTTCGGACGGCGTCTGGGATTGCGGTGGTCGCTGTTATGTCTAAGCCTCACCGCTGTCCACATATTGCCACAACGGGGAATATCTGTGTGTATTGCCCTGGGGGTCCGGATTCTGATTTCGAGTACAGTACGCAAAGTTACACTGGATATGAACCTACTAGCATGAGAGCTATTAGGGCTAGGTATAAAAATTTTGTCATTACCTTTGTTTTGCTTCTAATGGGACTGTTGTTGCTCGTGATTGGTGCTTGGCATGTAATTTTCATTGGTGACGTTTAGTTTGTCGGATGTTCTAGTTTAAGTTGCTGAAGTTTATTTGTTTACATAAATGCTAAGTGGTCATAATAATTGAATTACTGGAAGTTGCTGAAGTTTATTTGTTTACATAAATGCTAAGTGGTCATAATAATTGAGTTACTGGGCAGAGAATGCGTATTGATGAGGTGACTTCAGAGAGTGCTTTTAGTTTTTCAAGCTTGACAACCTTTTACTTAATGGCTTCAGAAACCTGTGTACTTGTTATATTATTAGAGATGGAGACGAGGTATTACTAGATGTTGATGTTTTACCCTTGGGAGGTTTTTATTTGCTTTGGAACGGTGATTATAAGGGTATTCATTCCGAGTTCAAGGTTACACTCTTAAGCAAATAATACTTAGTTGTACTTCTGCAGTAACTTCTGGGCCCTAAGTGTTCTACTTTCTGTGCTATGGGGCAAAATTGATATTAAAAGTGGCACATATGGCTGGTTTCTTGGAACTCAAGTTTTCGGTGTCGTCTTATAGGGTTTAGTGGTTTAGTGTTTGTCTTCCAAACTTGTCCATGTGGGTTGTAGATGGTGAAATTTGTCTTCAAGAGACTTGAGGTTGAAAATGGATTTAGGTGACTATTCCAGTTGTATGAATTCCTTTGTCAATTAATGAATTTATATTAGAAATTCTGTTGCATAAGTCTCTACAAGAGTTGTATAAATATCTGCAGTGCCTATTTCGTAAGATCTTAGAAAGAACATGCAATATGAAGAAAATCTCATGTGGAATATTTTTTTTCTCAACTGAAATGCTTGAAGTGTCCATACTTGTCAGTACTGGAAAAAGAGTTCCTGAAGGCTTAGTGCCTTCATGGTGGGAAGGAACTCAAGGAAGTAGCTAGCAGGTTCTACTACTGGATCATATTTATTTCACATTTTTTTTTTTTTAAAAAAAGGTAGAATACAGGTCATAGCATAACTGAATATCTATGGAAGTTGTTTTGTCAAAAGTTGGGGATTTCTTCCAGGTTTAGTAGCCTAGTCGCTGAAATGACGCCTTGATATGCTAGGTTGCTCCTTTTCAGTCCTGAAAGTCCGATAATATTGGTTTTTTTTTTCTTTTATTTTTAGTTGTTTAAGAGTCTTCAATGAATGATTGACATTGAATGTGGGACTTGATTCATGGAATTCTTGTTCTTCTTTTTTTTTTTTTTATTTTTGAATAGTAAGTTTAATTTGCTATGGTAATTTAGCAAACGGCATGTTCATGATGAGTCTTCTAGATTTACATCCAATTGGTCGCGCAGAGCTTTATCAACTTTTGGGACTGTGTTATGTGAAGCAAAAGTGAAGTTCTCCCTAATACTTAAATAAAAATGTTTTTGCATTTAGATGGGAAGAGAACAAAATCTGTGCCCCTGAGGAACATCTTTCATTGTCTATTGATAGTTGGGAATAAAAATCAGTAGACAAGGCCCTCCAGTGTCAATCATATTGAAAAACTAGTTTCCATGGTATGGGCTCATTGTTGACTAGGCGTTTGTCTTCTGAGAGGTGATACTTATAGGCAACTGCTAATCGATGTTGTTTTGTTGATATTATTTATTATATTGACGTACTTTGTTGCTTACTAATGGATATTGATATTGTTCAACTGGTTGATTATTTTGTCATTTGATTTTTCGAAGAACACTAAGTACATAACTTGCTTTCTAGTGATGTTTCCTTACATGACCTGTCCATCTGCCCTGGGCCATGACTTGTTGCTTTGTCCCCTTTCGTATTAAATGCTTGTATACGCGACTTTCTCTACGAGGTTATGAGCTCTTAGAAATCTTTTTTGTATATTTTTGTATTTGTATATATTCTGTGATACTTTTGCTGTCCACATGAATCCATATATTGCTTGATTCTGTTTGCAGAATTTCTAGTCTGTCTGGGTATGGGCATATATAGCATGATTCTGTGATTGAAATTTAACTGATGCCTGTCTGCCAGAATTTCTAATGTAGCTTTGACTTGTCGTTTGTTTGACTTCTCATTGTGGTTTATGGTTTCTTTAAGTAAGATAAATGAACCTATTTATGGATGGATTCAGTACGAGATTTTGTTATTGCTTAAGTAATGACCTTAAAAAATACTGTAGATATTTTTTAAGCCCCACGTTTTTTGAATTTCCTTGTTACTTAAATCTTAACTCTAAATCTTTCAGCTTTAGAGTCTTGAAATTTTGTTGCCCTAAAACCGGAAGGCAATATATCAACAATCTGATTATTAGTTTATTTTTGTTTTAGATACAATCCTTATGTCCAAGCAAGAAGCCGTATTGATCAGCTTAAGAGGTTGGGTCACAGTGTTGATAAGGTTTGAAATTTACTACTCCAGGCTAGGATTTCTGCACTGTCTTGACCAGCCGTAGCAATATACCTTGTTTCGGATTTCTTATGGCTTGTTGCTTGTACAGGTTGAATTCATTTTGATGGGTGGTACTTTTATGTCGTTGCCTTCAGACTACCGTGATTATTTTATTAGGAATCTTCATGATGCTTTATCTGGGCACACTTCTGCCAATGTTGAAGAAGCCGTGTCGTATTCTGAGCACAGTGCGACAAAGTGTATTGGGATGACTATTGAAACGTAAGCTGCACCATGTTTTTCTTTATATTTGTGTGTTCAAGTGGGTTTTATTTAGATCAAACTGTAACCTGCAAGTTATCAATCTTCATATTTCTCATTAAGTCATATTTCTGGCTGAAGTAAATTGTTGATCCTCTGGTTTTCAAGTTCCCGAAACAAGGCCCTATGTATTTTAAGTGATGTATCATACTGTAGAACAGACTGATGGTGCAGAAACAGATTTTTATTTTTCAAATGAAATTCTTTGACCTGCGTTTTGGTGGCTCCTAATTGATCTCCTTTTGCATTGGATTAAACTTAGCTATCTATTTTTCTGCCACTGATTGAATACTATTAGCTATCTATTTTTCTGCCACTGATTGAATACTATCTGTATAAAAAATTATTAGGCGGCCAGACTACTGCCTCGGACCTCATTTAAGGCAGATGCTTTCATACGGCTGTACAAGACTGGAAATCGGAGTACAGAGCACGTATGAGGATGTAGCTCGAGACACCAATAGAGGCCATACTGTAGCTGCTGTGGCCGATTGTTTTTGCTTGGCTAAGGATGCTGGTTTTAAGGTTATTATCTTTAATGTCCTCTGATATACAAAATTATATATTTTTTTTTTGTAACATTATACTTTGACTAGTCTCGTTGTCATATAACTTTTTTACTAATATAAACACAGGTGTTGACCTAATAAGAAATATATATAGAAAAAAGTCTTAAAAAGTGAATATAAAACAATTATTGAATACTTAAACCTCCACTATTAATGTGATTTAAAATGACACCTCTATGTAAAATTTTTATTTCATCTTATGTTATTACATGGGGCGGACCAAAATTCAAAATCTCCCTGGCTATAATTATAACATAAAAAAACAGAACAATATTATTTGTAACATTTTTTATACTTCTAACAAGCTTCTCATCAACAACAGACCTATATTCATTTTCAGATATAGCTAAATGTCCTTAAAAATATCCTTAACACTTAATTAAATCTTAAAAGTGCAAAAACACGTAATTTATAAATAAAAGTAACTATCAACCAGAAATTAAGAAAAGAAAAAAATAAGGAAGAAGAAGAAACTCACCTATATACAATACACTCGTGAGATATAAAGGAAATGGTAATCATTTGCATAATGCACTCAAATTTGACCAAACATATAAGTAAACAATGAAAAAAAAAAAAAAACTGAGAGAGAACTTATAACATACAAATTATTTCCTACTTCAACACTCAACAAACAAATGTGACAAAATTTGTTTAATAATTTATTTATTTCTCAATAAACACAACATGTTGCAAAAGCACAATTTGTATCAACCTTTGGTTAACGGTTTGCATTTCAACATCAACATCAACATACCCTATACCCTGTATATTCCCAAACAGGTTGGGGTCTGGGGGGTCAGTTGTACGCAGACCTTATCCTTGTAATTATACAAGAAGGCTGTTTCCATAGCGACCCAAGGTGCGTTGCGTCGTTTGATATATTTTTTCTAGAAACTTCACTAATAGAAGAAACACTAGAATTTAATTGAGCCATTTTGATCTAGTCCATTATTTGCACGATGCCAAAAGAATTGTCAACATTGACTCTTCCAGCTCCATTTTTCTTGGAGAAAAATAAAAAAACCCATTTCATATAAATTACTGCAATTTGAGAAGTTGGTCGAGACCTTTGATTGCTAATACGTAGTTAATTGGTTGGATTGACATAAATCTTTAATTTCTTAATAAATATTAATGGTTTAGACTAAAATAATTCAGTGGACTCACTTTAAATTTGAACAATGGGCTAAAATACAAACAAGCTAAAACTTTTAAATAAAATAGATGGCATTATATGGATGACCATCTGGGCTAGAGCCTAGGTACACCTGTAAGATATAATCCTGCAATTTCCTTGTTAGTGAAGTGCAACTTCCTTGCACTTTCATTACACTTTCATTGCATTTTCTTTGTAGCTTCCTTGCAGCTGCAAAGGACCTTCATAGCAGCCCCTTTAGGCTGAATTTTCAGCTTTAGTAATTTCTAGGAAAGTGTTGAATAGTAGTTTTTAGTTCCTATAAATAGGGATGTAGTTTTTCATTTGTAAACCAACACAACACACAGAAAAGCTTAATACTCAATACATTGAGTTGTTCACAATCTTCTTCTTTCATCCTAAAAGTGTTCGTTTGTACCGGAAGCATTTTTTGCTTACCTGAGCAGTGAACGAGCAAGGACTAACAAGTGGCATCAGAGCCATGGCAAGCCAAGATGTTGCGTCGATGGTGCAAGGGAGCGGAGCATACGCTTCACCACGCCAGGAGGTCATCATCCACAGGACCGTGCGGGACGTTGGCGGGGCCAACTGGCCGGTCCTCACACGCACAAACTACGGCGAGTGGGCGGTGCTGATGAAGGTCAAGTTGCGTGCGCGCAAGCTTTGGTGGGCCATCGAGGAAGGCACCGAGGATGAAGAAGAGGACTGCGCAGCGATGGAAGCGATTCTGTCCGCTGTGCCTCACGAGTACGTGGAGTCGCTGGGCGCAAAGGACTCCG